CCCCAGCCAGCTGGCTGGGGAATTCTGGGAGTTGAAGTCCACCCGTCTTAAAGTTGCCAAGGTTGAGAAACACTGGTCTAGACAATGCCAGATTGAGAAAGGCTGGTTCAAGGTCTGAGCACTGTCATCTCCATGGCACTCTGAGCCCACTGATGCCCATTTTAACTGAGTGTGCTCTGCAGTCCTGGCCGCTTATGGCTCAGTGTGTCAGAACCCTGAAAACTAGATTGAGAAAAACACCATTTAGTTAGCCACAAGCAAGCGTGCACGTAATATGCCAAGTTCTTCTAATGCTGTCGGGCCAGTTACCCTCCACCCCTGAGAAATTAAGAATATTTTCATTCCTCTCGAACCATCCAACCTCCTCTCTGGAAAGGTCCACAGTCCAGATCTACGAGTGCTCATTTCTCATACTACAGATCTATGAGTGTTCTGCCCTGGTGGTTGTGGTGGGGGAAGCACTCTGCACATGCTCGAAAGCTAGGCATTCCAGTGGGTTCGTTTAACTTGGGGATCCCTTCATTTAGGGACCCTTTCAGTTCAGAAGCTACTCTAACTCTTGACACACAAGGGGTGCTGCTTCTAGGAAGATGGCTCTCTACATATGCTCAGAGACTCTTAATTAAATCATATTTGCCTAGACTTGGCTAGGAAACAGATCTCCCATTTATCCTTCTCTCCACTTCACTGCTCCTCCTTTTCCCCAGTCCCAGATATCTGTAGCTTCTTCATCTCAGTCTCACCTGTTGTTGCTCTGCACCAAAGCTCTCGGCGGATCCTAAAAACCCCTGCAGCTGGGGGGTCATGTTGCTTCGGAGACCCCCTTCTGCCATGGGGACACCCAAGAACGCCTCCACTGCCTCGTCCAGCCCTGGCATCAAATGGGTTTCTGGACTGGTGCCCGTGGCTGCGGCCGCCAACGAATGGTGCAGTGTCGCCATCCAGTACAGCTCTTCCAGTGAGGACTTAGGGTCCCCCACTTTGTCAAAGGTGGGTGAGGGGGGCACGGAGCTGCAGGGGGTGGAGCTGACAGAGGAGCTACTCTCCGGCCTGGGCACCTCCTGCTTCACTTCGAACTTCAGCAGGTCGAAGTCGTCCAGGTAGTCCAGGGCGATGGGGCTGGCAGGCAAGGCACTCATTCTGTGTAGAAGAAAGAAAGATCAGGTTGGTGTGTGAGAGAGAGTGTGTGTGTGTGCATGTGTGTGTGTGTGTGCGTGCCTCTCACCTGGCTGAAGAGCAGAGCCGGAGATCTGGATTAATGGATTAACTCTTGGAATAACCAACACCCTTTTGCACCAGTTTCCTCAGAATGCTGTGCATCACACATGGTCGTTTTGCACACTCATCCAGCCCCACGGCAGACTTCTAGTACCACCCGCCCACCCATTGGGTAGAGGTTCAGGATACACTTGGATGGGGGTGCCAAGAATTAAAGAGCAAAAAAAAGGTGGCACCCACAGTTGATCCAAAAGAGATCTTGCACTGCTGACGTGCCAACTGCCTGGACCAGCGTGAGCCATACTCTACCAACAATGCCCGGGACAGATCCGTTGCCATAGGTGCAAAATCACTACTTTGCACTCCATTCACACCAATTAATCTAGAGTAAAGTCCACTCCCAAGGACCCACAATCAAGCCGCAGTTTGGTGTTCTCTGCTGAGCTTCTGCAGCCCAGCGAGGACACCCCGGCCAGATCAAGTTCCCAGTGGCTGGTGGGGAGATTTGGAAAGCCCTTGTGAGCCCGCAAGGGATCTCCCCCAGATCTCTGAGGATTTGTTCAGAAAACAGCCAGCTTTTTCCATCCCACCTGAGCTTCTCGCCGGCTGGAAAGTAGGGGCTGGGGTGATTTCTCTGTATTTTCCCTGGCCAGGCTGCTACTACCACCTCCCCGTGACACCCACCATCCATCCTTAGATTGAGTGGGACGGCCCTGATAAAGCGAAGACCCCCCCTTCAGTCCCTGGACCCTGATCCCCTAAAGATACCACGGGGGGGGGTGTTTTGCCCGAGGCCCCCAGAAGACCCTGTTCCTCTGCCCCACGAACTCAATTCCTA